TTAGAAAGGTTGGTGGTGAAGGAATGTGAAAAATTCACTTCAAAATATCTAAGCTTCCAAGAAAATTCACTTCATATTTCAGAGCCAAATTCATTTTGCTTGGAGCATAAGGTATGAGTCTCTTGTTTACTTCTTTATTAAGAAGGAAAAACAAAACCTGTTTTATATATGTGTATATCATAAATTAGAAACGTGATTCTTAATATCTCGCTTTTTTCTTTTAAATAAAAATTTAGAAAAATATAAATATAATTAATAGTCGGTTGGATTTGAACAATTTTGTGACACGAGTCTTATCAATTAATCTCATTAAAATACTAGTGTTAAAATCATCCAATATAAATGCTTACTATAAATCATCAATATAGTAGTGTGATTCACTGGAGGATAACGTATTGAGAAACTATAAGAAAATGTGTATAAGTTTTATTTTAAAAGCCAATATTAGATGCAAGTCCTTCCACATGTTTACTTTTCATATGGTAAACTAAAACTATTTTGATTGGTAAATTAAAGAATCATATGCAATTATCCCCTGTCCTTCTCACAGTTAATTTAAACAGATTTTAAAGGTTAAGTGTCATTTTTTATTATTATTTCAAGAACTTGTATCCTCTTTTTTGGGGGTTTATGAAAAATATTTATAGAAAATTTGTTTTAAGGAAATTAAGTAATCAAATTTTTCTAGGATTTTTTTTTTTAAGTTTTAAAGATTTATCATAAATCTTCCTTTGAATCTTTAGTAATATTATTGAAATTGTCATCAAATCATCAAAAATCTCATTTATATATATGTTAGTCTATTTTAAAGCTTTACTCAATTTAAAAACACTATAATACAATTCATTATATAATTTATTTATTAATATTAAAATACAACTACAACATTATGTTTCAAAACTAATTTTATTTTTTATTTTATTTTGTTTTACTAGAAATATGTCTAACAACCGAACCTTCTAATTATTGGAAAGATTATACAAAAGACATTTGCAACTTGAAACCCAACCAAACTAATTTTAAACAAATTATATTAGGATAAATGTCCATCAATTATCTACCAATTTCTTTTGTAAGTAGAAATTTATATTGATTATCTGCGGAATTATGGTATGGTAAAGACATTATCTAATGTAATATTATATGCCTATAATGTTATAAACATGTTTTAATTACATTAAAAAATTTAATTAAAAAATAAATTTGTAATTTGTCCAAAGTCCAACTTATTGGTGGGATGAGCCAATTAGGAGTTGAAATCTAAAACAACATTTAATAAAATAATAGAAGTTTTCTTTTAAGAGAATAACGAACTAATTGGATTTTGTTTTGATGGATTTGTACACCAAGTTGGATTTGAAGGTATTTAAATTAAATAATAATTATTTTTTCAAAGCAGTTTAGTCAATAGTTTTCAAAAATAGTTTTTTAATGTAATTTTAGTATTGATTGAAAAAGAAAATGTAATTTACTAGTTTTAAAATATGTTGCAGTTGAATTATCAAAAATAGTTAATTAGATTTTTTTTTTTAAAAAAAAAAATTTGCCTCTGTAATTTGTGTTTGGTCTATGAATTATGAGCCAACAATTAAACTTTTGTTTTAAGAAAATAAAAAGCTAATTAGATTTTGTTTCAATGGATTTGTAGATCAACTTTCGTTTGGAGGAATTTGATTTAAAGCATAAGGGGAGAATGATTACATGGCAGAGTCAATCTAAAACTCTTAAGATCTTTAATGATCATAAGTTGGCAAATACTCAACTTGGACTCCTTCAGAAATTTGAAAATTTGGAAGTGCTTCAACTAAAAGCCTGTGGATACAAAGAAATATTCTCATGTGGAAAAGATGATAAACATATGCAAATCACTCTAAGGTCATCCTTAGCTTCTTTCCAATATCTTAAAGTTATGAGAGTTGATTCGTGCAATGGGTTGATGAAGTTAATAACACCTTCAACGGCTAAAAGCTTAGTGCAGTTGAGAGAAATGAGCTTAGAGAACTGTAGAATGCTGGTTGAAATAATAGAAAATGAGGGAGGAGGAGATGCAACAACGAGTACTGAATTGTTTTTGATAATTTGAAGAAGTTGTCACTTAGATGCTTAGAAAGTCTCATATGCTTCTGCTCTGGGAATTACTCTTTCAATTTCCCATCTTTGGAAGAGTTAATTATAGGAGAATGTCCTGATATGAAGACTTTTTCTCAAGGAATCTTAAGCACACCAAAGTTGCACAAAGTCAATTATGAGAGCTACAATAAGCCTGAATGGAAATGGGAGAATATAATGGAAGTAGAGAATGAGGGGAATGATCTTAATAAAGCCATACAAGGAGCATACAAAAATCAGGTATGTATTCAAATAATTGGTTTAAATATTTACTCATTTAAAGCCTAAAGAAAGACAAAGAATACAACTTTATATTATTATTTGTTTAGTTTGGGCCTAGGCCTTTTAGAAATTATTAAGAGTTACAAATAGACATATTTTTGTAATCCATCAGAAACAATAATTATTATTTTTAATTACTTTATATTGAAACAACTATTAATCTTTATTGTAGGGCATTTCTCTTGATTTGAAGTTATGGACATTCAAGGAGATCAATTCTACAGAGATTTGCTGCAACCAACATCCAAATTCCTTCTATCAAAATCTGACGCACTTGATTTTGTCGGGTTGTGGAAACATAAAATATGCATTTCCATCTTCCATCGCCAAAAGCCTCCACCAACTCCAATACCTAAGGATACATAATTGTAAGGTTTTAGAGGAGGTTGTTTCAAAAGAAGGAACAAATAAAGATGACAAATCTGTCTTTCCGCATGTAACCTCATTGAAGCTTCAAAATCTACCGGAATTTACAGGTTTCTATCATACTTTTGAATGGCCAATGTTAAAAGAGTTGGTGGTGAAATTTTGTGGCAAATTCATTACCTCAAAATATTTGAGCTCCCAAAAAAATAGCGAGGGTGAACTTCATTTTTCGGAGCAAAAATCCCTCTTTTTCAACGACAAGGTATGAATCTTTAATTATTTCATTGTTTATTGAAAAATAAAATAAAAAATTTCGTTTGAGAATGAGAAATAAAAATGAATGTAATCTTAATATTATATTATTATTATTTTTGCAATAATGTAAACAAAAAAATAATAATCTAAAAAGTATGTTTAATTAGCAGTTAAAAAAAATAGTTGTTGAAGGTAATTTTAATATTAAGGGAAATTAAAAATAATAACAACATATAATTTACAATTTTTAAATAGATTGTAGTTGAACTATCAAAAACAGTAAATTAGATTTTTTTTTTTTTTTTTTTTTTTTAAAAAGAAATTGCCTCCATAGTTTGTCTTTGGCCTATGACTTTTAAGCCAAAAGTAAAAGTTTTGTTTTAAGAATATAAAAAACTAACTGGACTTTGTTTTGATGGATTTGTAGATCAACTCAGATTTGGAGAGATTGGAATTACGTAATGAGATAAAAATGATTAGATGGCAGAGTCAATCTGAAGTTCTTGAGATCAGTATTGATAAGTCAGCAACTATTGCACTTGGAATTCTTCATAAATTTGAAAATCTGAAAGAGCTCAAACTATATTGGTGTGAATACAAAGAAATATTCTTGTGTGGAAAGGAAGAGAAACATATTGGGAGGCCCACCCATAAGCAAATCAAGAGCCTATCTAATCTTCCAAATCTTGAAGTTCTAAATGTACATTGTTGTCATATATTGATGCGTCTAGTGTCATCTTCAGCTTCTTTGCAGAATCTTAAAGTTCTAGGTGTAAGTATGTGTAAGGGGTTGATGAAGTTAATGACCCCTTCAATGGCTAGAAGTTTGGTGCAGTTGAGAGACATGAGCATCTCTAGTTGTGAAATGCTGATAGAAATAGTAGAAAATGAGGGAGAAGGAGATGCAACAACAACAACAACTGAAATTGTTTTTAACAATTTGAAGAAGTTGTCACTTGAACAGTTAAAGAGTCTAACCTTCTTTTGCTCTGGGAATTACTCTTTCAATTTCCCATCTTTGGAAGAGTTAATTATAAAGAATTGCCCCAATATGAAGACTTTCTCCAGAGGAATTTTAAGCACACCAAAGTTACACAAAATTGATTACGAGAGGAAGGTGAAAGATTTAGAGAATGGGGGGAGTGAGCTTAATACAACCATACAAAAAGCACAGAAAACAAAGGTATATGTATTCAATTAATTAGTTTAAATATTTATTTATCTTTGCATTTTTTTTATTTTAATAATTAATGTTATGTTTCTAGTGTTAATTAAAATTAATTTATCTTTTAAACAATTAATGTTGACCTTGACACCACATAGTTTGTGTATAGGTTGAGCATAATATTATTGTTGAACTAGTTTTCGTCATGCACTGTCATACTTAGACACCTCACTTCATTACTAGGATACAAGAAAGTCCGTCTATATTTTTCTTAGAAATTTCTAAAACTACTGTTTTATATTTCTAACAACCATGCTTTCATCATTTTTTTAATTCTAATTTGATTCACATGATTGATCTTTAGCTTTACTCTAATTTGACGGTATTGAGATTGAGTGAAGGGGATACCATACGGATTTGGAAAAGAAAACTTCCAAAGAATTTTGGCAAAGTAAAAACTCTTCAATTGGCAAAGGATGAATCAACAAACGTTCCAATTAAAAAATTTAGCAGTCTTGAAGAACTCAAACTTCAAGGGAGTTCATACGAAGATATACTTTCATGTAAAGAGGATGAGGAACACATTGGAACACTCACAAAATTAAAAGTTCTAGAATTGTTGGGACTTTTTAATTTAAAGTGCATTTGGAAACAAGACTTTCGATTAAATTCAATTCTTTAAAATCTTTATCGTCTAGAGGTGCAATATTGTCACAATTTGACTACTCTGTTGCCATCTTCAGCATCTTTTGAAAATTTACGTACTTTGAAAGTAAAGCATTGTAATGGATTGAGAAATTTAGTGTCATCCTCAACAGCAAGGAGTCTAGTGCGACTAGTAAATTTGGAAGTAAGAGAATGTGGAATGATGATAGAAGTATTAGCACATGAGGGAGATACAAAGGAAGGTACCATTGTTTTTGAGAAATTGGAGGACTTACACATGTTTAAATTAGAAAGTCTCACATGCTTCTGCTCTGGGAGTTACACCTTAAAATTCCCAAACTTGGAAAGACTAAATATATATCAATGCTCCAAGATGAAGGCTTTCTCTGAAGGAGACTTAAGCATGCCAAGGTTACAAGAGCTGAACCATAAAGATTGTTCGAAGAGTGACCTTAATGCAATCACACAACAATTACAAAAGGGTAAGTATTAATTTACTTATTAACAATATACTTTTTCTATAGACTTTTTCGCTCTCCTTCATTGAATTAATGCTAGTTAATCTTCATTGTCTTAACATGTTGTTCTCTTTTATTACAGATTTTTGTAAAAAATATAAAGGAGAAGAAGAGTGAGTTGGATAGCAAACTATTAATGTTCATCAACACACAGCAAAGTCATGTGGTAAATTTTCCCTTGGAAGTGTGTCTAGTTGCTTTCGGAAATTCAATTAATTAAATAGATATCAGGTATAAATTTTAAGAAATTACAAGGTTATATATGATATTGATTAAAACTTTGAGGGACTATTTGAACATTCTGTTAGGATAAAATTGAAATAATATTAGCTTACAGGGACTTGAACAAAATGCAGCCATGGTGAAAGTAGTGGGAGATAGAGTTACGCGTCTCCTCCCTTGGTGGCTAATGTCGATATGACTCCTGTCAAGTCCGCTCTAGTATCCGGCTGCCTGGCTTTAGTTTGCAGTGAATTTCAAATGAGCCTTATCGACCACGTGTGCCCTCTCCCTTTCATTCTCCGAACCCTTTAAAAATCGTCTGACGGTCCCGCCTGCTCAAACCGCCGATAGTCCAGGTCATTTTCGGCGTCTCAAATACTTATCATTAAAACTAATAGAACATGTGTGTTTATATTTGTTAATTTTTTAATTTCAAAGATGAGATTGCCAAGTTGTTCCCGAATCTGTTCGCAAGGATCGGCGAAATTGGTGCCAAATGATGTCGATAGGCTTCAGGAAGATCAGAAGTTGAAAATCGGCATTGCGTTTGACTGGGCTTTAGGCGACAGGTGGATACAATGTGATCTCAGGAATTTTGGGTGAGGATCTATATGATCTGTAAGTTTAAAACGTGGTTTGCTTGAAATGTTGTTTGAAAATGTGATTTTTGTGTTTCATTGGTAATGCTTTGTATTGATTTCGGCGAAGTACAACAAAGATCATGAAGTGCAAATACATCGAATGGCTCCTGAATACATCGAATTGATCATGAAGTACAAAAACCAATTGTTTCTTTTGAGTGAAATTTATAGTTTTCAAAGTATTCAAATGTGGTCAATAGGCATTAATTAATGCTTGTTAGATAAATTATATTTGATGAGATTAATATGTCCTTAAAAGTGTATTATCCAATAGTTTAAATTGTATCTCAATTTGTGCAGGTATAATTTGATAGTGTATTGATATGGAAAACTGTTTATATACGCTGTTAATAGTGTTGTTTTTGTTGGATTTTTAGTGAGTTATGACTTTTGAGCCAAGCAGAGGAGAGGTGTTCAGGCAGGGACTCAATGTATGTTCAAAGCCTGTCTTTCTCATGTAGTCTTTTTCCTTTTAAAGCCTTTTGTTTTTTGGTTGTTTTCCATTTTGGTCACTGCCGCTTCGTAGTGCAGAAAGCTAGAAATGGTAATGCATATCAGATAGTGATCTTTTATATTCATAAATATTGTACAAATGTTTGAAATTTTTTTCTTGGTTTTGGTTCCACATGGTTTGGGGCTTTGATGTGTAGTGTTAGTGAAAAACCTTTTAGGGTATGTAAAATTTAGAGTGTTTCTCTTGGGTATTGTTAAGAGTATGCGCCCTTTATCATTGAAGATTGAGGATCTTCATTGACTATTGGAATTGACAACTGTATGAATTTATGACTGGGTGAGGCTGACCATGACTAGTATAGCAGAGTTTTTGGTTTTTAAGAAACTGCAAGTTTGTGAATTGACTATTAAGTGTAGTGGGGGTGAAGATGTTAAGGGAGCAATGGCATGCTTATAAACTTTGAATTATTGCGAACAAGTAATTTTGTGTCACTGGTTTCTTCATTTTGGTCATACATCTCGACGGTGGCAATGAGGAGCTATGGGTAAAAATCTTTTAAAAATGACGAGTACAGCTGACAAAAATATGAAAGGTAGAATTATGAAAAATGATAAAGTTTTCAGGGTACAAACGATTGTGAGAATGTTAAACTAAAGGGACTATTGACATGCTTGAATATGCCGCAAGCGCGTGATTCAAATTTTAATATAAAGAAATATGTAAATCAATTCATAACTTATCTCTTATTTATCTTAGTATCATTCTCTGGGGTTCTGGTTGCCGCTTTTTTATGTTTCTCTCATGCCATCAGTCACTAAAAGAAGTTTGTAGCTCAAAATATTTTTGAACTTCAGCACCTTGGTCCTACATGGATTCTTTTGAACAAACCTTTTTTAGTGGACGTTCAACTTTACTATATGTGCTCATAGGTGTCTGAAGTTCAAACTTCCACTACTGATTTATTGATTTGTTGTTTTCGGGATTTGTTCTTGATCCAGAGAAATGCAGCCAACTTACTTTGGGAAAGATAAGAGAACTGGTTTATGACATTGCCAATATGGTCACAAAATGCCACAGAGATTCTTAGCTCATTTAGCCACAGGGAGCTTCTTGAAATCTGGGCTTGCTAAATTTCCAATGATAGAGCATCTACAAAAGTTAGTTCTCAAAGTCCTTGAGGAATAGCATGGATAATTTTCCTGACTGTTTGGCCAAAACTCACCCATTAAAATTTGGTTGTTTTGTTTCATTACTTATTGTGTGCATGCTCTTAGACTTTCATTCTCCATCACATCAATTTAAATTTCTTCCATCTCCTATTAACAAGTGTGTTATTGATATGATAATAAATCTACTTCATTATACAACAGATTTAGTTAATGTTGACTTCATTATCGTCACTAAGAAATCAATGAAAACTTGTTTCTTGGCTACTGTTTGAAGCAGGAACACATACACGTTGGTATTGTTAAACAATCCAAAGAAAAATAAAAAGGAGGCTAGGGTTTCATTGATATTGCACAATTCAATTGAATACAAAAAGTATGATTTAACCTAAATACAAAGATATATATATAGGCTAAACAAAGGAAATAATGAAAAGACAAATCTACCCTAATAAACAATAAAACAAAATAACTCATATTTCTTAACATCTCCCCTCAAACTCACGATGCGGCGGCTACAAGCTCAGAGTTTGCCAACTAGAAAACGAAAACGGGAATAGAATCGACTTGGTAAGAAATCTGCAATCTGCAAAGAAGAAGAACAAAGGGCAAGGTAATGGTGCCATGCTTGAGAGATGATGGTAAGTGTACGAATCGATCTCAATGTGCTTAGTTCGTTCATGAAAAAAACCGAGTTGTGAGCAATCTGAATAAACTCTGGTTGTCACAATACATAGGAGTGGGATGAAAAAAGAAACGCCCATATCTGCAAGTAACCAACGTAGCCAAACAATCTCTTTGGTAGTAGATGCCATAGCACGATATTCTGCTTCGGTTGAAGATTGAGAAACAATCCATTGTTTCTTGCTCTTCCAAGAAATAAGAGAATCACCCAAAAAGATACGAAAACCAGTAACAGCTTGCGATCTGTGGGATCACTACCATGATCCGATCGAGTATGCACGCACTCCAAGGAAGAGGTGGATGAAGTAAAAGACTCTGAAAGACTGTACCCCGAAGATACCGCAAAATACGAAAAAAAGCTGCCCAATGAACTGTAGTAGGAGAAGCAACAACTGGCTGACACACATGAACAGCATATCCAATATCTGACGAGTAATAGTGAGATTATACCAAACTCCCACACAGTACGGTATAAAGTAGGATCTGACAAAGGTAAACCATCAAAGAAGAATATTTTGCATATACCTCAATCGGAGTATCGACAGTCTTATTAAGTAGTCTAGCCCGTTCAAGAATATCTCAACATATTTCGACTGAGAAGAAGTAACCTCTAGGTGAGTAGGCTACCTCAATACCAAGAATATCGTAAGAACCCAAATCCTTCATTTCAAACTGTTTAGCACTTTGTCTTCAAACTGAAATACCTCATATCATCACCAGTAATAATCATGTCATCAACATATAAAGACGAATGATACGACCTGCATCAGTGCACTTAACAAAAGAGCAGAATCATGACTACTAGAAGCACCAATCAAGGGAAGAGATCACAAAAGAAAATTTCTCAAACCACACGAGGTGCTTGTTTAAGACCATATAACGCTTTCTTCAGCTTGCAAACATACCCAGAATCATGTGAAATACCAGAGGGCGCCATATAACTCTTCTTGAAGTCTCCATTCAAGAATGCATTTTTAACATCAAGTTGAGAGATATGCCACTGACGAACCGAAGCTACTGCAATAAGAGTACAATAGTAGTCATTTTTGCAACAGGAGCAAATGTCTTCTCATAATCCATACCATACTGTTGAGATACCCTTTTGCAACCAACCTAGCTTTGTATCGCTCAATAGATCCATCAGAATTAGTCTTGATCTTATACCCCACCGACAACCCCAACAGTCTTACCAGGAGGTAGAGGAACCAAATCCCAAGTACCTGTCTTATGCAAAGCAGAAAGTTCCTCATCCATAGCTTGCTGCCAAAGAGGATCAAGAATTGCCTCTTTATAGGAAGGGGCTCAGAGAACAATGATAGAAGCTAAAAAAGAAGCAAAAGATGAAGAATAACAAAATAAGCAAAATCTGGTACTTTGTGGACTTACGATTGCGTATGGATTGACGTAAGGTGGTATCCACAATCTCAGACGAGCTTGAGTGACCATAGGAGAAGAGGGAGCTTCAGGTGTGCTGGAGAGTAAGGTGTCAGTACCTGCAGAATGATCAATACTAGGAACCTGAGATGACAAACTATCAGAATCCTTAGAAAGGATCTATACGAATTAGATCAGATCTAGTCAGGTAGATTAGTGGATGAAATGAAAGAAGGGTATATGCTCAAGAAAACAACATGACGAGACACATAAAGTTTCTGAGTTATTGGATCAAAACAACGATCCCCCTTTTTACCTTCACCATAACCAAGAAAGACACAAATAACAGATCGAGAGGACAACTTGCTGCGTTCTACATGAGGACAGAACAAAAACAAGTACAACCAAAAACTTTAAAGGAGAATAATCAGGGCATACCCATACACCTTTTCGAAAGAGAAAAATCTGAAATATGAGAAGATGGAATTGTATTAATCAAACCTACAGCAGTAAGAACAGCTTCACCCCAAAACACCTAGAACAGAGGAAGACAATAGAGAGAACAGCAGTTTCAACAATGTGCCTATGTTTTCTTTCAGCCACACCATTTTGCTCGGAGTATCTGTACACGAGGTTGTGTGAACAGTTCCATCTAATGCAAGCAACTCACAAAATTTATAGAAGTGTATTCCCCACCCAATCACCCCTAAAACATTTGATACAACAGAATGTTGAGTTTTGACAAGAGCTCGAAAGGCTGTATATTCTCAAAAAATTCAGAACGATGTTTCATTAAATAACCCAACAATAACGAGTATATCATCAATAAAAGAAACATAATATCGAGACCCTCCTTTTGTGGCAACAGAGAGGTCCCCATACATCAGAATGAATCAAATCAAATGGAGAAGAAGAGACAGAAATACTTCGATTAAAAGGTAAAGCTGAAAATTTTGCCAGTTTACATCCACTACAATCAAAATATCACAAGTTTGCAAATTTCCTAAAGCCCCTGTGGATGCCAAAATCTCAAACGAGAAGACGAAACATGACCTAAACGAGAATGCCATAAATAAAAACTGAAGAAGAACGACTCAAACGAAAAGAAGACAAATCAACCCTAGTAGCGGCAGCATCAGCATCAGCACTAGTAGCAGCAGCAACAACTGGCACTTTTAACTCATCCAAAATATTAGTCCCCCCTTCCTACGGCCTATCCCAATCAGCTCTGAGACTGTAGATCCTGCACATACACAGAAGAAGAGGAAAAGGTGACTAATTACCAGAATCACATAACTACCAACAGAACAAGTTTAATGTAAGTTTTGGAATATGATAAACATTAGAGAAGACAAGTGAGGTGTGACAACAGAACCAACACCTGCTAAAGGCATAGGAGTGCCATCAGCAGTCATGACAGGAATAGAAGACGAAGGGGACACAGAAGCAAAAGATGAAGAATCTGGAGACATATGATGTGAAGCACCAGAATCCAAACCCATACAGAATGTGACATACCTGAAGAACTATGAGGTAACTGACCTACGGAGAAAAGCACACATAGCTTGTGGCTGTAGGAGAGAAACTTCTGAAATTGCTCAGCCAGAGTACTAGGATCGGTGAAAGGACCTGATGAACTCACTGCTGCAGTATTAGACTGTGGTGGTTTGTAACCCTGAGGTGGTCTATGAGCATTAGATTGTGACTGGTTGCCAGGCTTCCAAGCTTGAGATTGCTGCTGCGCATTGATTCTGCTGTCTCAACTTAGGACACTGACCTTCCAATGACCTTTTTGCTTACAGAAACTCCACTCGTCGAAGGCAACCCTTGTATAAGGTTTTTCTGATTTAAAGACTGGCTTCGAAGGTACTGCTAACACAGAAATGATTAGAAGTCGAAGCAGAAAGAATTCCCTTTTCAGAATGAGACTTAAGACTGTTTCTTCAGCCATAACTCCCTGACAACTGAGTCAACAGAAGGCATTGGAGAACGATGCAAAATTGAACCTCTAAGTCCTTCAAAATCACTACGAAGTGCCGTTAAAACTGTACCAACCGTTGCTGCCCCTATGAGCAATATAGGCACCACATGCTTTTAATTCTGCAGATTCTGTAAGAGCCAATTGATCCCAAAGATCTGTCATAGCAGAATAAAACTCATGAACACTCATATTCTTCTGCTGAAGAGCTCGTATGTCATTCTCCAATTGATACTGCTTTGCAAAATTTGACTGAGTAAATAACCTTTGTAGATGATCCCAAACCTCTTTTGCTGTCTCATACTTCGCTAACTGTGTACCTATGGAATGCCCAACAGAATTATTGATCCAAGTAATAATTTTTTGCATTGTTTGCTTCCCAGGCATCTATCAAAGCATCATAACCCTCCTCATATTCTTAGGTTTCACAGAAGTTCCACTGACATATCCCCCACTCTTTTTACCCTTAGAAAATTTCTCATCACATAACTCCAATACGAATAATTCTTGTCATCTAACCTCACACTTACAGACTGAAGCGAATCATCTCTTTCAGTAGCCATATTCAAAAAAAAAACAAAGACCCAGAATGCAAAAGAAAGGAAAACAATACCAGATTGCCGAAATTGAATGATACCAACAAATCAGATTGCAGAAACTGAACGAATACCCTCTCCTCCAAAAATTTCTGATACCGCGAAAGCTGTGTTTAAGATTAAGCCTCGTCCCATGAAACTTTGCTCTGATACCATGTTAAAAAATCTAAGAAAATAATAAAAAGAGGAGGCTAGGGTTTCATTGATATTGCACATTCAATTGAATACAAAAAGTATGATTTAACCTAAATACAGATATTATTTAGAAACAAAGGAAATAATGAAAAGACAATCTACCCTTAATAAACATAAAACAAAATAACTCATATTTCTTAACAGGTATCACTTTCTGTGAAAATCAAAGATGTTTTTTTGATAATTTCTCTATTCCTACTATTCTATCTATTTGTTATCTCTGCTCCTTCATCACTGACTTGGGAATAAGCTTTTTGTACAAATCTTTTCTTTGACTGAGATATATCTTTCTACAGGTTGCTGTCGAGAGCAATCACTGAAAAATATTGCAGACCACATTGTAGATGGAATCTGTAACCAACTGGACTTGGTCACATTACAGAACCATATTCATTCTAGAAGGTCTAATTGATTTCATTCTTGAGATACTTTTTCCAAATGTATAATATACAATTCTGTTTTTGACTTATTTTCCTTTAGAGTTGTGACTGTAGAAGTCAAATTAAACATCTTGCTAATTCTTATTTTTCTTTACCTCATTCTCATTTATCCTAGGAAACAAAATCAGTGTCCTAGTGCTTTTCTTTACCTCATTGCCACTATATCCCTTAAAGCATTCTGCAAAGAATAACTTTATTTCAATATAATATTATATATAATATTATATAACTTTATTTCATATTTATATCTATCATTATATATATATATATATACTAGTCAACTTACTTGGCCCTTGGATTCTGCTTAGCTTGATTTGACTTTCGTTCTCTCATCTCTACCATGAAAAGAACCTGGTCCTAATATTTATACCTCTCCATGCTCTTCCTAGACTTATCAGCAGATTAGCTCTCTTTACTGGATGAGGGCTGGATCTTGTACAATGACTTAGATAGCGGCTTATATCTTCTAGAATAGTTGTGGATTAGACCTTGAGTTTTTGTCTTCTAACTACTTTTTGGACTATTCGATCTTTTGCCCTGCTATATATATATATAACTTTTATTTCATATTTATATCTATCAATATATATATATCTTTTGTCCTACTATATATATATATATACTTACTTAGCCCTTGGATTCTGCTTAGTCTTGATCTGACTTTCGTTCTCTCATCTCTACCATGAAAAGAACCTGGTCCTAATAGTTATACCTCTCAATGCTTCCTAGACTTATCAGCAGATTAGCTCTCTTTACTGGATGAGGGCTGGATCTTGTACTATGAAATAGATAGCGGCTTATATCTTCTAGAATAGTTGTGGATTAGACCTTGAGGTTTTGTCTTCTAACTACTTTTTGGACTATTCGATCTTTTGCCCTACTATATATATATATATTTTGTTATTATTTTATATTAAAATTTTGCATCTTAGTTTACTTACACTATTCTCATTTTTATACAGATGATGATCCAATAAATGAAGATGATTCAGGAGTGCAGTTGATGAAGGCAATGACTCATGAATGATGATTAAAGAAAAATTTTAGTTGACTTGAACCTTGTTTCATAGGTCCTCCCGAAGCTTTTAGGTTCAAAGTCAAATCAGGCAAAGATAGGAATCATTAATGACATTAGTGGCATTGCTAACGTTGGAAGGTAGTGCTAAATATTTTATTTTAGTCAAATTAACTCCATTTATGAATTGAGATAATCCTTTTTTGGGTCAACCATATTGATGTATAATTATGTATATGGCTGAATTGTCTGTGTGGAATTCCCACTTTTACTTTAAATTGATGTTACATCTAACTTATAATGGATGCATTGATCTTTCTAATTCTATCTTGTGCTTTGCACTTCTCAAGACCTTCTACAAGTGACATTTATTTGTAAGAAATTAATTTCTTATATATTCAATGATTCATATAAACATAGGTAACTTTGAAGAATTTCTTTTCTGGTAGAAGGTCTTATAGAGGAAAATTTAGAAAGTTAATGGGATTGTGAAATGAAATGTGCACTAAAGTGCCCTTGAATTATTGCAGGATGATCCTTCTGCTTGGCTTTCTTAGGAAATCTTTAAAAGGTTTCAGAATTTCTATATACTTGGTCATTGTTTTTAAATACATTTGGAAAGTTATTGTATCGAAGATTGCACATATATAATCTTGACACATCTCTAAACGTTCCTCTCCTTTATATTACAGAGAGAATCTCAAAGGAATGTTTATTTATTATTTCAGTTAATTTTTTCTTCATGGACGTTGTGTGCTAAGTTTAGCTGCTGTTTTTTTCAACAGGTGACAGGGGAAGTTTTGATTGAATGGATAAGAAGGTACTTTACTATAGACAAGTGTACTGAGAAGTTAATTGGACTCAAAGCTGAGTTGCAACTCTGCAGTTTACTAAGCTTTTTCTTCATGAGCTGAGCTTCCTGGAAATGCTCCACATGGCATCGGATTCAGGAACCACGGAAGCTTTTTATATTCTCAAGTAATTAAGCTATGAGATAACTCTGCAAATCAGAATTTCTTATATATGCCGAATTCATCAATCAATAAAACTATGCTTACTCACAATCTTACTAACCATCTTACTATCCTGATAAATATAACATCATAGTACGGGTACTATGCGTATGGTACCCGTACTATGCCGTTATATTTTCCAGGATTGTGAGATGGTTAGTAAGATTGTGAGTAAGCATAGTATTACTCTTCATCAATAATGGATGAACGACATAACATCTTTCCCTTTCTCTCCTTTCTACCTTCATCTAATTTGTAATTTAATAAAAAATTATGTTTTCTTTTGTCTAAAAACAATTCTCCATAATTATTGATCAACCATGTGGCTTTTAGAATTCTTAAGGAGATGGGATTATGGCTTTTTAAATTATAACTCGAAAGGGAGTATTTTTTATAAAGGATTTTTGTGAATTATAGTCGGAAGTAATTAGTATTTATAGAATGTTGATCTATTAGGAAGGTTTGGTTCATTTCTTCTACTTGCTTTTCGTAAGATTTCAGTTACTTGGTCTGATGAAATTGTCTTATAGAAAATTGTTATTGTCATTCTTTCTACTTAAATCTTCTTAATTTTATGTTGTGATCATGCACAAAATAATTCAATTGTTTAGTTTCTTCCATATCCATATTATGCAACTCTTATTGTTTTGTTATAACCATTATTGTTCTGTACTTGAGCTTTTGCTCCCTGGTTGTCTCTCTTTCATTTTCATCTGGTTTGTTGTAAAACTAAAAACATAAAAGACATGAAACTAATTTATGTTTCCACTGTTTCTAAAGTTGGCGAGGATTTGGTTGCTCCTTTAGTATTAAAAAAAATTCATCTTCTCATCATTGTTGTGACTAATCAAAATTGTAGTGTATATATATATATGCTTATACCTAACTATTTGGCAAGCTATTGGCTATGGCCTTAGGAATGAACTTAGGCTTTTTATTTGATAATCTATGTTGGTGCAGTAGTACTTGTCTCATTCATGCAGCTCGGACCTGATCTCAATAATCAGATTCATTATCTGAATTAGTTTTTGAAAAGCAGAGCATCACGTTTAGAATATACAGTTTCTTGGGTGTTGTTGAGACTTGAGAATATACATCCTTCTTTATCATTAAAGTTTTAAGGATCTTCATTACCTGTTGGAATCAGCCTCATGACTTCACATGATGTATGTATGAAAGAATTTATGACTGGTTGAGGCTGACCATGACTGGTAAAGCAGAGTTTTTGGTTATTAAGAAACTGCAAGTTTGTGAATTGACTACTGCATGTAGTGGGGGTGAAGATGTTGAATGTGAGCAATTGCATGATTATAAAATTTGAATTACTATTGACAACTAGCTTCAACAGGTGACGGGAAGTTTTGATTTACTATAGACGAGTGTCCTGAGAACTTACAGTAATACTACAGATACCGAATTTGTGCATTGAATTTTTTTATAGAACGATGTGGCATCTAATAAGACGCGGTCACGTTGGACAGAAAATACTGATTCAGTGAAATTATATGATTATAAAATCTGAATTATTGACTATAGAGGAGTGTCCTAAGAACTTAATTGGACTAAAAGCTGAGCTGGAACTCAGCACTTACTTAAGCTTTTCTTCACTGGAAATACACTTTCAGAAATCATTGACCGATGAAACTAACAAGCAATTATCCTGACAAATGGTTAGCTATATTTTATTATAGCAAATTATCAAAATAAAGCTATAGGGTCATTCTAAGTGAGAAAATGTCTCAACAGCATTTGCAAGTGGCAAGAATAAATAAATTGTAGTCGGAGCTCTCGTTTATGAATTATATATTAATTTTTTATATTTTAAAAAACCAGCTCATGTTGCTTGTTTGACAGTTGCCCAAGGGTTATTATATTTAATTTCTTTTAACTTCTGATAAGAAAATAAAATAAAATTTTGGTTTAAAATAATGTGTGCAACATCACCCTAGGTTTTTGGTCACTTTCAATTTGACCAAATTAACTAATTTTCACTTATTTATTTGGTTATTAATATTTATATGCAGATAGTTGTTGGGTTTTTTGTTTTTACTTTTGGATTGTTCTAATCATGCATTATAATTCAACCTTCCGAGATTTGGCCTGAACTAGTTAACCCCTTTGATATCGGTATTAACTTAAAACCCCCTACGGTTAGGTGAACGTTAATATTTTCTGTTAGTTTTAATAAGAGAGGGGCAAAAGAGTAAATCGTTAATAAATTTTATAGTTAAGCAATAATTAATCAAATTATATAAGCTGAAAAAGACGAAAAAGGATTACTCACCTTCACCTATGCAAAACCCAAACCCACCAACAAACACAAAACCCTTCGCAACCCCATCTACAGCCGCCTGCAACCCAGCTAGCGAACCCACAGCCGCTTGCACCCCTGTCTCCATCGTGTTTCCTCCCTTCCTAGTATCTTCCCACCCAATCTCTTCAACCACGCCACATCACCATTAAGATTGTCAAACCATACATTCAAGTTTCAAAATGATCGAATTAATTTCACATATTAAATCATGCGAGTACACTGATATTTGGATTTGTACTAATTTCTAAGGATCTACAAGCTTTTATTAACAGCAAAATGTGGGAAAATTACTGTCGAAATTCTTAATTGGAGAAAAATGATGCAGCAATCACTTTTGCTCACTTTTTGTTTTATTTATTTATTTTTATTTTTTTGTGTGTTCGCAATGGTTGTTTCCTGTTTTGTTTATTCGGTAACGATGTTGTGTGACTATGAGAAAGGTAGAAAGTTGTTGAAGAGGAGAGTTTAAAAAAGCAAAGAAGATATTTGATGAAAAGCCCAACTGATTTTTTTTTTTTTTTTTTTTTTTTTAAATTTGTGTGAGTATAGTGGCGGTGAGCTTCATTCTACGACGGAAAGAGGGTGTTCAATGGCTTAAACGGGGGACGAGAATTTGGGGCATGATAGGGTAGTTGCTGGTTGTTGCCTGCTGCGCATGTTAAGAAGAAGTGGGGTGTTAGGATGGGAAGACGAGGGTATTAAAGTCATTCACCCTCTTAATGCGAAAACTAACCATAAATGACCAGTGACAGGGGGTTTTAAGTTAATGACGAACCCTCAGGGGAATTATCAGATTGGACAAACCTTTGGGGATGGTTTTAAAATTTATTTACAATGATAGATATCTAATCTTTTTAACATATTCGGTTTTAAAAATAATTCAATGCTAGAAATATTTTATGTCTTGATCAGTGGCGAACTTATGCTTAGGCTTATAGCCGCCATGGCCACTTCATATCCCACCAAAAGTTTTAATATATATATTACAATGATAGATTCCTAATCTTTTTAACATATTCGATTTTAAAAATAATTCAACGCTAGAAATATTTTATGTCTTGATCAATGGCGGACTTATGCTTAGGCTTATAGCCGCCATGGCCACTTCATATCCCACCAAAAGTTTTAATATATATATTACAATGATAGATACCTTAATCTTTTTAACATATTCGATTTTAAAAATAATTCAATGCTAGAAATATTTTATGTCTTGATTAATGACGGACTTATGCTTAGGCTTACAGCCGCCATGGCCACCTTATATCCCACCAAAAGTTTTAATATATATATTACAATGATAGATACCTAATCTTTTTAACATATTCGATTCTAAAAATAATTCAATGCTAGAAATATTTTATGTCTTTATCAATGGCGGACTTATGCTTAGGCTTATCACCACTTGTAATTAAATATACACCTTTTTTGGCCCCGTTTATTTATCAAATTTTATCTTTGGCCACACAAATATTATTTCCTAATTTGACCAATGGTCTTGATCATTGATCTTCTAATTTCTAACACATAACTTGATCAATTCAATCATCGGTATTTAATCCAAATTGGATATATATTTGCTTGTTTATGTTTCTGTAAATTTAAATTAGTTTTTTTTTCTGTAATTGGATTAAAAATGCAACCTTAAAAACCTGTTTAAAATGTCAAATAATAAAAGACTTGCAACAGTTTCTGTTTATGCCATCTTATTTGGTGTTGAAGTGATTATGTAAAGGAGACAAGGGTATAAAAGTCAATAAATTGGACGAAAGGTGAACTTTTAAAAACCCCTAATATTTTGGTTACTTTATTTGACCCATAAAATCTTTAAATGTTTTAAAAGAGTAGAAAGGTATTAGTTGGTTTGTCCCTCTCAAGTTTTTGTATTTTTGGTTTGAATTGGCCCTTTCATCTAAACCCCAGTTATTTTATTTTATTAATTTTTTGAGTTCTTTTCAAAGAACATATACAAATTTTGATTAATATGGAAATTAATAGCATAGAATGTGACATTACTAACACATTAAAACATAGATTTCTTACATTAAATGTTAGATTGTCGATGAACATTTTATATTATATTACTAGCCTCACATTTCATGTTATATTATCGGTTTTCATATTTTTTTACTAAGTATGACAGTAATATCTTATATTTTATACAACCACACTATTGCTCAACATATTACCAATGTTTAGTATTATTTTCATTCAGTATATCAAACTCCCAACTCCTAAAGTACTAATTGAAAGCAAATTAAATCTTAATTTCATTGAGCATGAATGACACATGACAAAAATTATAACTCTATTATTTATCTAATTGTCCTGCCAATTCTATTTTTTTGGGCCAACTTGCGCTTGTCCTCCTTCCTTCAAAACAATCAGGGGTGAAGACTCATCTATTTTGGTAATTAAAATAATTCTGCTCAGACTCTTTCTTTGGAAGAGAATTAATCAATATGTAGTTGATTGTTCTCTTCAATATCAGAATCTATGTTTGGTTATATAACAGAGTGATAAACTTAATTAATTTGATATATTCAATACACTTGAATGTCATTTTATTATAGAATCCAAGACTAGAACTATGTATCTTAGGAACATGTTACGGTCTTCTTCTGAAAAAAAAAAAAAAAAAAAATCACTCAATATTAATGAACATGTTCCTAAAGTGAAAAACTCCTACTAGTGATGTCTATTT